ACCTGTGCGTTATAGTCGGGCACCACATCCCGTGGTCGATGTAATAGCATTAGGTCCACGCATTGCAGGTCCAACTGTTGCACAGATAGTCGTACGGCCTCTACCGTAGCCGCCGTTATGTCTGTGACCAGAAATGTCTGCCAAAAGATCTTTGTGGTAACAAACAGGTCCTCCCGATTGACAGTACCGTTGGCTATGAGTGCGTTGAGTGTCCGACCGATGGCCACTTCGTTGCCGTAATTGCTGGCCGTATCGATATGTCTGTACCCGATGTCGATCGCCGTATTGATTGAGTTCACCAATGCCTGTCCGCTAAGAAATCCACCCGAAGAGGTCAGACCACCGGTTCCCACACCTAATGCCGGCATTTCTATGCCGTTATTTAAGCGAATCATATTTAAAACTATTTAATTGATTATTTTTATAACATTATTAATAAGTTTTATTTAATTTGATTTACAAAATGCAGTGAAATGTGTGTTTCTTTGCAATAAATTTATATAATAGATAATTAAATTGATTAAATACTGTACAGTATGTGTAAGACATCAGTATATAATACACATACTCTTGTGTACTATTTAGATAATTTAATTTATAAATATTTACTTTATCATCGTTATATTTATACATCATCAAATGTTACACTTTTATTGGATGTATTTTATTTGTAATTTTATACATTAATTATTAGATGTTTAAGTTGTAATTTGTAGAAATAAAACTGTTTTAATTAATAAATTATTAATTTATATGACTTAATGGCGATTAAAACTATAGTTATTATCATTTATTGCATTAAATTCCTTAAGAAAAATCTATTGTTTTAACTGTTTATTGCACTTAATAAAGGATTTTATACCTAAAAGTGCAAAACTGTGTGATTTTCTTTAGTTCATTAAATTTACTAAATATACAAAATTATTAAATATAATTATTCTCTGAATTAACTGTAAATTATTTATAAAAATTAATTATAAATCTTACATTGTGTCTTAAATAAAACATTAATTAGTTACAAAAAAATTGATTAAAATGTGTGAAGTATTAGAAAAGTTTACATTTTGTGATAAAATTCCCGCAAATATTAAACAAAATATTTCAAAACTACACACATTTCTTGATTTGGACGAAAAGATTAATGTATTGATTGTGACAAACGATGATATGGTCTATGGTTTTGGTAATAATAAATACGGATATCTGGGGTTTGGGCACAAGAATCCCATACAATCACCAGAACTGATCCCACAATTATGTCATCAAAACATACAATACTTTGTCAATGGATTGAGTTTTGTGTTAGCAGTCAATGATAAGCATCACATATACGGGTGGGGGCGTAATGACCGTGGTCAATTGGCCATAAATATGGAAATTAGTCAATTTGTTGCACAACCAGAGATAATACCATATTTTATTGATAAAAATATTGTACAAATCAGTTGTGGTTACGAACACACACTGGCCCTCACCGGTGATGGCCGGGTGTATACCTGGGGTGGCAATAAAAAGGGTCAAATTGGCTGTGGATTTGAATATGACCATGTTGATACACCAATTGATATACCAATTGAGATACAAATTAATAATGATTTCAAAATACAATCAATTTATTGCTATCTTTGGTCGTCATTTGCCATCACATCCGACGGCCATGTCTTCAGTTGGGGTTACAATACATTTCATACATTGGGACACAATATAAATGATAGTATTTTATTTAAACCCCAATTGATATCAACCATAAGTGATGTGAAAACAATGAGTTGTAGTAATTTTGGGACATATTTTCACACAACAAATGGTTTATATTTTTGCGGATTATATAAAACAAAAAGATTTTTAATTAAAAATACAAATAAAGTTCAGAAAAGTCCGAAACAAATACTATCTAAACATCATTTCCAAGAAATACGAGATATTAATTCATGGATTGATATTAAATACAATGAATTTATTTGTGTTTTAATTAATGATAAAATTTATAAGATTTCAAACGAACATAAAATTGTTGAAACAAATTATGATAATTTTATTGAATTTTACGCCAATGAATACAATATTACTTATAATACAATTAATGTAAAACAATTAAATGATAATCAAAATTAACACAATGTAAATATTTATAATGTACATGTAAATAGTTTAATGATTATAGAAATAAATTGCATCAAATATTTGTACCCTATGTCAATCACCTCATTCATTATATCCGCCATTATATGCACCCGCAATGGTCTGACCACCGGTTTTCACAACTAATACAAACATTTATATTCAGTTATTTAATAAAATCACAATTTTTTGTGTTTTCCTATTAATAATCCCATCAAATATTTTACGTTTGATTATATTTTTAAAAAGAGTGATTATTTTAGTTACATTGATAAGTATAAACATGTGACATATGACTCATACATAAACTCATATATGACTCATACACAAACAATTTACATGGGCTTACAATATTTGCCTAATATGTGGCGCTATAGACTGTTGAAGATTTGCAGAATTTTATAAATCAAATTAAGAGTTTTATATAAATAATTGATTATCTAATTAATTATAATGTTTTAATTATACATAAAATTAAAGTACTAATTAAATAGAAGATATTTATATTATTTTTATTAGAATTAATCAAACCTATTTGATTATAATTAACGGCGAAACAATTAAAAGCTGTCAAAAATAATATCCGCTCAGAGCATAATACTGAAAAAAAATTTTGAAATACAATTTTCATTGAACTTTAATAATTTAAGTGCAAGTGCTCAACAAAACCACAATTTTTATAATCTGTGTATTCATAATAAAAATGTGTTCGCAACGCTCCATCAGTGATACCGAAAATTGGTCTGGGACTATTATACCGAATTGTAAGTACTTTAAAATTTTAATTTAATAGGGATTATTATATTCTATGGGTAATGCTAATCCTATGGTTCTAATGTTGTCCATCAATGGGTAATGTTAAACCTATGGGATAAAGTAAAGCCTATGAAAATGATAAGTTTCTTATTAATGCTAAGCTAATAATAATAATCCTATAGTTAATGAAAATTCTGTAGAGTAATACTAAGATATTTAATATACTCATTGAAAATATTTTTAATTAGACGTAATTTATATATTACCATAATACAGTATGTTTAATCGTTACAATACTATGTTTTATTCTGCTATTATAATTAAGTTAAAAATAGTTTAAATTTTTTGTTAAAAAGTAATTATCAAACCTTTATTTTAAACTCGGTTTTTGTTGCTTAAAAAAGTTAAATTATATTAAAGTTATCCAAGTTATACTTTAGTTGAAAATTTTATAGTGATTAACAAGTAAGTTGTAAGTTATTATAAAGTTAAGTTTACTATTATAGCAATTCCTTGGAACTTTTTAAAGCTAGTTATTATTGAAATGAGCCAATAGTACGGTATTATTAAATGTATCAATAATTGCGTTCAGTGTTAATGAAAGTGTAAATTAAATTCAGTTATTAATTGAATTCACTACACGTTTAGCTCAGGAAACGATTGCCGACTGTCTTTCGGACGACGAATTGAATTACGAAACCGACGGATATGTCGGCGAAAGTCAGACCAGAAGTGAGACTAGAGTTTGGGATCAGTTGTCAGACTATAACGAAGACAGCGGTGAATATGTGCAGCGATTATCACCAACGGATGACCGCCGGTTTTGGGAACCGCACCCAGTGTTGGACCGACCCTTTCATCCCAAGCTTACAGTAGACAAGTATCTATTGGATCCGCCAAAACGTGTGGCCAAACGACAGCGCAGTCCGTCTCAAGACTCGGATGACTGGTTCATAAACGACGGTCCCGTAGATGACGACTACGAGGCCATCGCTAAGGCCAGAGGCCTAGGCTGGGAGTCCGACACCGAAGGGCTGACCACCGATGACGAAGACACTGACGAAATGGACACCGATGTCGACGATGAGACAGTTGTTGACCACAAATCCGAGTCCGATAGCACTAGAGATAATGAATGTGAACCCCAATACGTGTGTCTATTTTGTGCCCAATCACAGCGCCTGTACTGCGAGGCAATGGATCACATGATCAGCCATTTTCCCGACATTAGTAACCAAACTGTCGACTATGGGGTCGAGCGTCGGGTCAGGTCGTGGTGTAAGGAGTTTCTGACCAAACAGTCGGCGCCGGAGTTTATGAATGTGATAACCGACGAGTCTGTGTGGACACCGATTACGGGTCACTTGTATTGTCCCGTATGTGAACGCGTGGCCGACATGAAGGATCTGATGGCTAAACCCTTTGACACTATCCGTGAGCTTCGGTCGCACTTATATAAGCACTCGTGTTGGGCGGCCATAGAGTGCGGCCTTTGCCACGAATCGGTGGACAATACGGCCCGCGATATACTCCAGCACTTGAACGCACAGCACAAACACTCGCTACGGGACTCACCCGTAGAGGCCATACGCCAGTTGCGGGTCAATCGTGTGGGTGTCGGATATCTGACGGGTAGTCAACGCCAGGCACTCATTGATTACAAGTTTATGGCATTCAGTCGACACGACGTAATCGACGGACAGATTGAGCAGTGGTTAGAAGTGTTAGAGGCGGCCGAAGACGACCGCCTCCTTCGCCGACAACCCGTACGAGCCGTACGACTGGCTGTCCGTCGACTGCCGACCCTTAACTACGAGAATAAGAGCGGAGAAGTGCTTAAGAGTTTTGTCGGCGATTTGATCGGTAAGACATCGGCAGTAGATCTGAACAACAATTGCGGCAAAGAATGTGAGCCCAGAAGACAACGGCAGGCAAAACATGAATTCAAACAAATTGTGATTACGGCCGACAGCGACACACGAGTCGATGATAATGAAGACATGAATGGTATGAACAGTAACGGATCCGGTGGTGATATCATTGAAGAAATTCCAAGTGATAGTTACGCAAACATTACGTGAGTTAATACTGTTTTTGATGTTTTATTGGACTCATTATTAAATGAATTGTTTATTATGTGTTATAGTAGTTATCGCTTAACCACAACACCCGCACCCGTACTCTCCCAACCATTGGGCGCCACCCATAAGCTGTCCCTCCGATGCGATGTCTGTCACAGTCTGTGCGACAATAGTGTTGATATGGAGGCACACTCTGTGGCCACTCATCCCAACCTTACCATCACTTATCATATAATTCACAACTAATAGTTGTTTTACTTATCCTTTTATTAACACATTTAATCAATTAATAATTATAACTTTAACTCAATTAACTAAAAACATGGCAATCAATTCAATTAATTTTTATTAAACAGTTTCTAAATTAAATATTCAATTATCAATTTCTTTATCAAAAAGAGTTTTAACAATTGATTACAACATTTACTTTTATTATTGCAATTAATTGGAAATGTAATTGCTATAATTATTTGCATAATAAACTAGTTAATTAAAATTAATATACAACTTTTAACTATTTAACATTTAATTAAAATTTTACAAATTTATTACAACAATAAAGCGTATAAATTGTATAATAAATAACGAAAAGAGATTTTGTAATACAGGACACAAGATTGGGATTACAATTCATGTTGGGTTGACATCTATCAATCTCATGAAAAATATTATACCCAATGATATAATCTATTAAATAGTTATAAAAAATTAAAATATCAAATATAAATTATTATATAATTACTTCATAACCGCGGAATCGGTTTATAATGAATATTTTCCAACAGTAAAAGCCTATTCTTTGAGCGCCGGTTCTCTCTATTATGTTTGTTAACTGTATTATCAAATTATAATTATTAATAAAATAATAATAATGTTAAATTTGTTAAGTAGTTACCTTAAATTTAACTCGTAATGGTAAATGCTTTGAGTGAAAAATGTATGAATTTAACAATTTATACGTATATTTTGCCTCATTATATAAAGCGGACGAAATATGGATTATTAATAGCAAATAAGTGCTGCAAAATATTGTGGCTAAAATTGGGACGATTCTAGCTAAAAATATAGTTTTCGAGTACATTGCTACATAAAATAGCAAACTTATAACAGTGCCAAATGTTAACCATGTCACAAGCAAGTACTTTGACCAATATATTGAATTATATTGAACGATATCGGCATAAATTGCATTATAATTATGGACTAGCGTTATTATACTAACGAGTGGTTTATGTTTAATTAAATAATTCCCAATTTGAGTATTCAATGTATTAACTTTGCAGTTGAGATAATATGCAATAAAAATGTAATAGATGGTTTGATAGATAATTATGTTAAACGTATGAAAACTCCAAATTGAGTAAACTGCGGAATTAACTAGGGTTATAATTAACCTGTAAACATTTTGGTGATCATGCAATATATATAAAATAGACGGATACGTGAAACCCATAAATGCTTCAATTCTAGTAATTGCTTTGGCACAGGTTGTCAATGTGGCAAGTAATCTTGATAGTTTTATAATTAAATCCGAATCCCTAACACCTATAGCATCCGGTGCGACAACACCGGCCATCATTTGAAATACACACAAATCAACGGGTTTTACACTATTTCTATAGTTTATGTAATTAATTATTTGTGATAATATTGCGAACGTGGATAATAAACACAATAACAGGTTTGAAGTAAATCCAGTTTGTGATAAATGATCTAGATCACACAGGTATATATAGTATACATCTGGCATTTTTATGCCTTTAGCATAGATGTATATACATGTTAGATTTCTAACCATCATCATTAATATACCAATGAATACAATTACTGGGTGAAGCAATTTAGCACGTTTTGGATACGAGTATTCGGGTTTGAATAGTGATAACCCAATGCGATAAAAATGGTTATCCGCACCTATCACTCGCAGTTCCCGAGATATTGGTTTATTCATTTCAGTATTTATATTCATTCCCGTAATAATAATTTAAATACTCTGCTATTATTACTGTTTTATATTGTACTAAATAATATGGACTACAATTGTATATTAAAATGCATTTCTGACAATTAGTAAAATTTATTTATATTATTGACCTTCTAAAAACTTATAAACTATTAAACTAAAAACGAGTATTTACACTAGATCGTGTTTGATAATAAGTCATTATGTCGTCATCATAAACATAATAATTAAATAATTATTTAATTGATCTCTCTCTCTCTCTCTCTCTCTCTCTCTCAAACACATTTTAATGAAAACATGTTTATAATTTGCGATAAATAATTAATGAAGATATCCAATGATTATTGTCTAATGTTGGTTATTTATATTAGTAAAACTAACTATAAAATACAATTAGTTAAGACAAGTCGATAAAGTTTTAAATGTTATTGAATATTTATTTAAATATAATCATCGCCAACACTAAACACAATCAATGCTTATAGATTGCCATCAAATACCGGTCACACGATTAGGATTACAATTTATGTTGGATTGAGATCTATTAATCTCATAAATACAATTATACCCAACGATATAATCTGTCAAATAAGATATAATTAATATTTTTATTGATTTATAACATAATTACTTCATAACCGCGGAATCGGTTTATAATAAATAGTTTCCAACAATAAAAGCCAATTCCTTTGGCGCCGATTCTCTGTATTATATTTGTTAACTATATTATAAAATATTTAAAAATAATATTAAGATGTATAATGTACTAAGGTGTAAAGGGGTTACCTTAAATTTAACTCGTAATGGTATATACTTTGTGTTTAAAAAGTATGAATTAAATAATTTATACGTAATATTCGCCTCATTATATAAAGCGGACGAAATATGGATTATTAATAGCAAATAAGTGCTGCAAAATATTGTGACTAAAATAGGAACAACTTTTCCTAATAATATAGCTTTTGAGTACATTGATATATATAATAATAAACTTATCATGATGCTAAATGTTAGCCAAATAGCAAACAAGTATTTTGACCAATATATTGCATTATACTGAGCGATATTGTTATAAATTTTGTTATATTTATAAATAAATTTTATAATATTATTGATTGGTTTTTGTTTAAGTAAATGATTCAGAATTTCTGTATTTCTTGTTTTAATCATCGTTTTAAAATAAAACGCAATGAAAATGTAATAGATTGCTTGATAAATAATTATATTGTACCAATAATAACTTAAAAAGGCGTAAAATGCCGAATGAGCTAGGTTTATAATTAATACGTAACCATTATGATAATCATACAGTAAGTATAAAGTAAATGGGTATATAAACCCACTTAATCCTACAGATGTAACCATTATTTTTGCAAAAGATGTTAATTTTTGAAGTAATCTGGACAATTTTATAACCGTTTCCGTATCTCTAATACCAATAGTTTTTGGTGTAACAAAACCGGCCATCATTTGAAATACACGCAAATCTACGGGTTTTACACCATTTCTATAGTTTACATAATTTATTAATTGAGATAATATAGCGAATACTCCGTAAAATAATAATAACAGATTTATAGTGAATCCAGTTTGAGATAAATGATCTAAATCGCCTAGATAGACATAGTATAATTCGGGCATAGTTGTGCCTTTGAGATGAATGTATAAAAGCACTAGATTTCTAACCATCATCAGTAATATACCACTTAATACTACTACCGGATGAAGTAGTTTTGAACGTTTTGAAACTAAATACTCGGGTTTGAATAGAGATAATCCAATGCGATAAAAATATGTATCCGCACCAATTACTCTAAGCTTCGAAGCTATTGGTTTATCTAGAGCAGTTTTAAAATTCATTTCCATAATAATAATATTAATAATTCCGTGTTATTAATAAGGCTCAAAAAATGTGTATCTTTGGTGGAATATAAATGCAAAAAAAATATAACATTTATTATTATGGATAGCTCTATTAACAAAAATGATATTTGTATTTGTATTACCAAAAATGTATTACTACATTCACATGTTTTAGTAACAAAATTACACGTTTATTATAAGTTATGAATAATTGTTTGCTTCTTTTAAGTGCTGTTAATGAGCTATTAAAATATAAAATAACTATTTTATTTGTTAAAATGTATTATCTTTATTAACAAAAATTATATACGAAAATGTATTTTTGATACTAACTTATTACATTTACTTGTATTAATCCATTAACAAAATTACACGTTTATTATAAGACTTATAATATAAGTAATTATGAATATACTAATAATTGTACCATAATTGTTTGGGTCCTATAAGTGCCCATTTATTTAAGTGCCCATAAAATAACCATTTATTTAATTATAAATTTCAATACCAACATAAACCTGACAATCTACTGACATTTACTTTAATTAACATTCAGTATTTGTACCTAATGTACACTAATTGTTATACAACATTTTTAATTAAAAATTTGCCAAAACTATTTATAAAACATTTATAAATTAAAATAATTGTCTGAAAACACGTCGACTACAGATCGCCGGTAAAGTGCGGACAGTGTTATGGCACGGGTGGGCGTTTATCATATGGACAGTCATAGTGTTGGCCAACACTAAACACAATCAATGCTTACAACTTGCCATTAAATACCAGACACACGATTGGAATTACAATTTATGTTGGATTGACATCTATTAATCTCATGAAGAATATTATACCCATTGATATAATCTATTAAATAATTTTAAAAAATTAAATTAACAATAATATGTTAATTAAATTATAAGATAATTACTTCATAACCGCGGAATCGGTTTATAATAAATAGTTTCCAACAATAAAAGCCTATCCTTTGGGCGCCGGTTCTCTGTATTATATTTGTTAACTATATTATAAAATTAAAAATATTAAAAATAAGCATAACATATAATATGTTACAATGTACCTTAAATTTTACTCGTAATGGTATATACTTTGAGTGCAAAATGTATGAATTAAATAATTTATAAGTATATTTTGCCTCATTATATAAAGCGGACGAAATATGGATTATTAATAGCAAATAAGTGCTGCAAAATATTGTGACAAAAAACGGGACAATCTTTGCTAATAAGGGAGCTTTAGAGTACATCGCTA